AGTCTTTAGGGACTCGAAAAGACCTCTCGAACGGCGACCAGCTCTCGCCTTATCATGACGGTCAGTTTTAGCTTTCTCTACTGAGGCGCTCGCCCAGCTCAACCGGGGCGCAATCGCAGTGGTTCTCCCAGTGATACCTTAGCCGATAGAACGGAACGTAAGGTACCAAAACATGGGAGCCAGGCAAACCCAACTATTGACCCAAGACATGATTCGGAGCCGATGCATATAGTGCTATAAGTTCGGGGTGCCGCACTTGTGAAAGTGTTCGGACTTATCACACCATAATGCGGGGAACATAAGCCCCTGGTGTATTCGGCCGTACCAAAGTGTACGGATGCAAAACGTCATAAATGAACATATATGTAAAAAAGGAATGCAATTATAAGCGAAGAGTAATGCATTGTTTATTCAAGGAGTTCTGCCATGAGTGCAGAACGATACAAATAGTGCGGTAAGCAAGGGATTGGACTATTAGACATGTCCCCCTCCAGGGGTAGGCTGCGGAATGGTGTATTTAACAAATTTAATGCTCATAATGGAGACCACCTGAGTGTCCGTCGTAGCCTTTGTCCTTCCCTGGCTGTTGCATCGTGAGTTCGGCAGATTCACTGCCGGACAGGGTCTCTGGTGAACGGAGTCCTGTGGATAAATAGTAAAAAAAGGAAAATAAAAAGAGCGACACACTTGGGAGCCCCTGGTGTGGTTGAGCCGCACTCTGGGCCTGTCGTGGTTGTGCCCCTCCCCCTATGCCCATGGTATCTCCAGAGCGTAATGATATACGCGAAGAGCTGGTCTTGCAATCATGCAAGGGCTGGGGTTGGGGCCGCATTGCTACGCGTGCTCGGAACGTGCCAGGTGGTCTTGATGTATGTTACTCCGAGCGCGTTTGGCCATGTCCGGTCGTTTAACAGCCGGACTCAAAAATTGCCTTAAGAGGCTGCTCTGTACTTCTGCCGCGAGAGCCGATGTGTGTGTTCCTCCGTTCAGAGGGAGCATTCAGTGTTTCTGTTGACCGTGATGACTCCACGAGGGCCTGGCATCTTGAGCTTAAGGTATGCATAGTGCGGCACCGCGTTGAACTTTGCAAACGCGGTTCATCCGAGCAGAGCGTGATAGCCACTGCGGAACGGGACTATGTCGAAGATTAACTCCTTGCTTCGGAAATTATCCGGAGATCCGAAGACTACTTCCAGTGTGACTGAGCCTGTACAATTGGCCTCAACACCTGGTATGACGCCTTTGAAGGTCGTCTTTGTAGGTTTAATCCTTGAGGGGTCTATGCCCATCTTGCGCACTGTATCCTGATAAAGCAGGTTCAGGCTACTGCCGCCGTCCATCAGGACTCTAGTGAGGTGAAATCCATCGACGATTGGGTCTAAAACCAATGCGGCGAATCCGCCATGGCGGATACTGGTGGGGTAGTCCCTTCGATCGAAAGTGATCGGGCAAGAGGACCATGGATTGAACTTCGGGGCGACTGGCTCCATCGCATATACGTCCCTAAGTGCACGCTTCTGCTCCCTCTTGGGTATATGGGTGGCGTATATCATGTTTACCGTCCGCACTTGTGGGGGGAAACCCTTCTGTCCTCTACTGTTCGGCGGCCGGGTCTCTTCCTCGTCATCGCTATTCAGCCCCTTGTCGTTGTTTTCGGCAATTAACTTACCTGCCTGCTTGAATACCCAACAATCCCTGTTAGCGTGATTAGCTGGCTTTTCAGGGGTGCCATGTATCTGGCAAGAGAGGTCGAGTATTCGGTCCAGATTGGACGGACCCGGAGTGGTTCTTTTGAATGGCTTCTTCCGCTGACCGGGTTTAGAGCCTCTGAATCCGGTGTTGACTGCCGTATCCTCAGTGTTATCGCCGTTAACGCGGCATTTGTTTTTGTTTCGACGCGACCTGCCACTGCGGTCCTTAGTATCCGGACTGCCAGAATTTTTGCTGAGGTTGTTACTGCGGGCTAGCCAGCTGTCCTCCTCCGCACAGAAGCGGGTCATGAGTGATGTGAGGGCTGCCATGGATTTCGGCTTTTCCTGTCCTAGGTGCCGGGCCAGCCACTCGTCGCGGATGTTATGTTTGAAGGCTGCAAGGGCCTCTGCATCCGGACAGTCGACGATTTGATTTTTCTTTGTTAAGAACCGTGTCCAGAACTGTCTGGCCGATTCCTCTGGCTGCTGAATTATGTGGCTTGGGTCATCGGCGTCTGGTGGTCGCACGTATGTGCCCTGGAAGTTGTCGAGAAATGCGGCTTCCAGGTCCTCCCAACACCCAATTGACTCTGCTGGCAAGCTGTTAAGCCAATACCGAGCTGGTCCTTTAAGCTTGAGCGCGAGATACTTGATGGCGTGGAGATCGTCACCGCGGGCCATATGGATATGAAGGAGATAATCTTCGATCCAAACCACGGGGTCTGTTGTGCCATCGTAGGATTCAATGTTCACGGGTTTAAACCCTTCGCGGATTTGATGATCCATTACTTCATCTATGAAGCATAGTGGGTGTGCGGCGCCTCTATACTGGGCAGTATCACGACGTAGCTCAAGAGAGCTTTGTCTGCTGTGTTCGGACCGGCCGGAGTTGCTGTATCCGGCGCGACGGTAGTCGTCCTAGATCGTGGGGCGCCCACATGATCCGTAGATAGATCTTTATTGTCTTGCCTTGTCCTCCAATATGTCTTGCAAGTCCAGCGCATTCCCTCGTGGCTTCGTACTTTTCGAGCGATGCCGGGGTACGGTCCTGATGGAGGGCCTAGATGCCTCTCTGTCGCGGCCACGAGGTGGTCGGTCTGCCGTATTGTGCGCTGGTGATGAAGGTTTATATGCCTCCTCCTCTAAGCGGGGGAGCAAGTTGCGTTTTGGGTAGCTTTTGGAGGGGCGTTCGAGTTCATGCTCTTCGGCCGCGAGGACCTCGGTCCATCTGTCGGCCAGCAGGTCTTGATCAGCTCGAAGCTGTTGCTGCTTTTTCTTTAGGCTGTTTGCCGTGGCCATTAGCCTGTGTTTAAAACGCTCTTGTTCGATGGGATCCTCAGGCACGACGAATTCGTCGTCGTTGAGGCTTGCCTCGTCTCCGGAGGGAGGCATGTAATTATCATCCTCGACCTCTTCGTCTGCCGCTCTCTCGTGAGGGCTGGCTTCTGCGTCCTCCTGCGCTGAATCTTGCTGGAGGGGGTTGTCTTTGGCACTCTCTGGGGTGTTATTATCTCCGGTGCCGGAATCTCCATTCTTGCTGTGGCGGGATTTAGAGCGGCACCGCTGACGTCGGCGTTTGGGCTGTTTCTTAGGGGAATCTGCCTCTGCTGCTTCTTCGCCGTTCCCATTCTTTGGGATGTCCAACATGTATATGTCGTATGACGAGGTGGTCTTCTAGTGCCCCATAGGCGCTGGTTCTTGGTCGTCTCCGGCATCGTCGTCCATACCGTCGATGTCTTCGGAGTCGTAATCTAGCATGTCGGTTAGATCGTCGACAGTGGCTACAAAGTGGGTGGTGGGTGGGCTTTGAATTTCTTCGTCGTCCGCATCCCAACCATCCTGATCATGGTCTGGCCAGGGCTCTCCTGATAACGAGAGATGCTTTAGCGAATTCAAGATGTCGCCAAAGGGTGAGTGCTGAAAGATATCCGCAGCGGTGAACTCCATGATCGGCGCCCAATCAGATTCGATTGGCAGGGGCACAGGAGGTTCGGAGTCCGGCATGGAGTCCGGCACCTCGGAGTCACGAGCTTTGCAAAGGACAAGGTCGGTATTCGTCTCTATCGCCGTAGAGATTGCAGCTCCCGAGGCGGTGTCTAGCCACCTGTCCTCGATCTGCGCGGTTGGCTCCGAAATAGGGGTCGGAGCGGACTCTTGTGCGGCTTCCAGGGCACTATCCGGCGGCAGAGCTAAATCATGCCCATCGTGACAGTGCGGCACGCTCGGCTGTGGCTCGAATCCATCGAAGATCAAGTCTCCGCGGATGTCAGCCGTGAAGTTTAAGCTTCCAAACCTGACCTGATGGCCAGGAGCGTAGCTTTTGATCTGCTCCAGATGGCCAAGCGAATTGGCCCGCAGTGCAAAGCCGCCGAACACGAAGATCTATCCAGGGAGAAAAGTCTCATCCTGGACTGCGTTGTTGTTGATTGAAGAAGCCATCAAGCCTATCGGTGACGACACAGAGGAACTCTCAATGAAAGCACCAATGTCGGTGTCAAAACCGGCGGATCTCGGATAGGGGGTCCCGAACTGTGCGTCTAGGCGGATGGTAACAGGAGACAAGGGACACAATGTTTTTACCCAGGTTCGGGCCCTCTCGATGGAGGTAAAACCCTACTCCTGCTTGATTGATATTGATGATATGGGTAGTACAAGAGTAGATCTACCACGAGATCAAGGAGGCTAAACCCTAGAAGCTAGCCTATGGTATGATTGTTGTAATGGTTGTTCGTCCTACGGACTAAAACCCTCCGGTTTATATAGACACCGGAGAGGGCTAGGGTTACACAGAGTCGGTTACAATGGTAGGAGATCTACATATCCGTATCGCCAAGCTTGCCTTCCACGCCAAGGAAAGTCCCATCCGGACATGGGACAAAGTCTTCAATCTTGTATCTTCATAGTCTTGGAGTCCGGCCGATGATGATAGTCCGGCTATCCGGACACCCCCTAGTCCAGGACTCCCTCAGGAATGTTCTGAAATTCGGAGTTGGGTACGTGTTTGGATGTTACTTTAGTGAAGAATTAAAGCATGCTGTCAAACACTAGGAGCCTATATACACAAGTTGTGTATGAACAGTGTATATGGTCGTATGGCTATAAAGGCCGAAAGCACTGAAGCTGTCCTTTACTACAAGTCATGTGTTTCTGAATAAGACAAAGGGTAAAGCGATCCTGTCAATCGCGTTGGGTGATTATGATTTAATAATATTTAAGGAAAACATATACGATGAGGGCGATGGATGGAAACCACCGGTGAACACGTGTCCTCAGATATCAGCATGTATTACGAGTTACGTCCGAATCTATATGGATCAATTTGTGTCACGGGACGACTGTCTCTATACGGACACAGACTCTGTAGTTTTACAGAATCCTCTTCCCGAATCTATGATATCAGATAGAGAGCTTGGTAAGTTTAAGCTAGAACACGGACTTATTAGGCGTGCGATTTTTACGGCTCCTAAAAGTTACTTCCTCGAGGTCGCTGGGGGTAAAGATGTCAAAAAGTTTAAAGCCGCCCCTTCAACTACGGTGGAAAAAAGTCACTTCGTTAACTTATTAAATAATGTAAGCTCTGAATGCGTGATCAATTACGAAAAGAACTTCTCTGTGGATTGGAAAAATCTAGTTATACGTAAACATATGAGTCAAATAACAATGTAATTGGGAGGCGCTAAAAGAAGACTAGTGTTTAAAAAAGGTGCTTGGGTCGGCACAAAACCATACGAATTTACGAGTAAAGACTTGTTCAAAATGCTTGAAGATCAGCCTACCGGCAGTCTAATATTACAGCTATGGGAGGATAATAAAAGGCTGAAGGATGCGGCTGCACTAACTAGAAGCATTGAATAAGGGTAACACTAGCGAGGATGATTGTGTTGATAAGAGTGATTCTGTAGAAGTGAAAGATCCTGGGAAAGGAGGTAATAAGAAAGAAGCTAATAAGAAAGGAGGTAATAAGAAAGGAGCTAATAAGAAGGGAAGTGATAAGAATGGAAGTGATAAGAACGGAAGTGATAAGAAGAAAGGAGGTAATAACGATTTGGAAGTGAAAGATACGGGGAAAGGAACTAATAAGAAAGGGAGTGATAAGAAGAAAGGAGCTAATAACGATGTACAATCTTCTAATAAGAAAGGGAGTCGATCTGCTAAGAATGATGGAAGTAGGAGTAGTAATAAGAAAGAGGGTGAGAAATAGGCGTTCGATGAGAAACATCCTTCAGATTCGAAACCTATCAAATCGTATATGAATTCTTGATCATTGTCAGAAGCTGGTGAGATAACGGGATATGAGTTTGGGGGAGTAGATCCGGATAGTTATCCAACCCTGTTTCCATTCCATTTGTATGTTAGAATGGTGATGGTGTAGGTTGCCTCCTCGCTGGATAAGAGTTCCGATTTGGTTGCATTTAGGTTTGCTATAGGTTGGATGCGTTCGAATAAACGCAATAGATTCCCTAGCTCACAACATAGGGTATTTGCTTCATATAGTAGTTGTAGATGTTACGGATCCTATAACAGGTGGGTTTACAGCTTTCAGGGTTAGCACAGTTTTCCAGGGTTACAATATGAGCTAGGGATTACTACCCCATAGATCACATGCATGGTAATATCTCAACATTAGTGTAGGTTGGTCACCAACTATACCATCTCTAGAATACACTAGAATCTACTAGTAGTCGTGCTCTGTTTGCTAATTGCAGCAGTCGTCTATCAAGGGGGCATTGAGAAATTCGTTCTCTTTTCATTTCATATACATCTATTCATTTGGCGGAACATACTTCTTAGGTGCTATATTTAGGTCGTGGTGTAAATATCTTATTTGTAGGAAAATGTGAAAGGTTATCCTGATCTATAAAGGTTATCCACCTTCCAGCTTTGTAAACCTATTCACATTCTCTCTACCTATATAGGGGTGGTGTAGTTTGTTCTCTACCCTAAGCCTACGGTTATCACGTCTCTAGGAATATTCACTAGAGGTGGGAAATCTCTTTCCTGCAACCATGGTGTTGATAACTAGGATATCAGTGTTTTGAACTAGGTCCTGATATCATAAAATCCTCCAATCTCAATCCTAGAATGGATGAAATCCATATTTATATGAATACGAGATATATTATGAGATGCTATCTAACTTTGTTTCTTAAGCTAGTTTACTCAGAGTTCAAGGACGCTTTCTCATGTGACAGTTCTGATTCGCTTTCAAGAGAAAAATTCTCTAAAGATTCGTTGCAGTCTAATCCTCCTACTCAATCTGATCAAGATAAAGTCAAAGGAAATCAAGAGAACGTTGAAGTCAATAAAGGTTCTGGAAAGAAAGGAAAAGTCGATAAAGGTTCTGGAAAGAAAGGGAAGTCAATAAAGGAAAGAAAGTCAATAAAGGTTCTGAAAGTGGATCTAGTGATAGTAATTATAATGGTTCGATTCCTCCGAGTGGAGGAGGCGGCCCCAATGGTAGTGGTAATAGTCCTCCTGGAGGTGCGCCTTCTAACGCATCAAATCGTTTTCACATTCTTAACAATTTGAGTGAGAACCTAGTGTATAGTATGTCTATACTCAATACTCAAATCCAGTATGATAGAGATATCAACAAGTTCTTGATAACTCATCGAACTCGACCGAGTGATTATGTGGTGCCTGTTTCTGTACAAGAACCTACTTCAAGGTTTACGTTCCTAGCTAGAATTGGTTGGCCCCATCTGCCCCGTATTTCAAGGTTTTCATTCCCCAATCCTATTGGCTTTCACTATAAGCGTACTATTTCACTATATGATAAGTTGGTAGATCTACCAGATTCTCTTGGCTTGGTAGGTATGGCTTCCCTGACTAGAGAAGTGATCTTCCGACACTTCAGGGAGCTCGATGTTGGATTCAAATCTACGGATAGTAAACCGAGCTATACTGCCCCGCAAATGGAGATCACTACAATCTTTTACAACCCACTTCTGCGTTCATATGTATATATAGTGTTTATCACGTTAATACATACAGGCATGATGTGCACGGTTTGGTATAAGTTGGTGGTTGGGGGCAATGACCCCGCGATGATACCTGTTGTCATCGATTCTATATCTGTTCAACCAATTCAATGATCCTGACTTCGATGGGTTTCATAACAAGACATATCTTCTTACTAAGGACGTGCAGGAAATCGTATTGGACGCGTTTCGTAACGATCCAACATTTCACGATGTAGCAGATATTACTAATTACAATCCTGGAGGTGAGATAGCTAAAGCGAGGTTAGCGGGTGTTTTGATGGGTATCATGGTTTGTATGAGTTTAACAGCACAAATTATGATTAGTAAAGTCGGTACAGCATAAACACAGGTAAGGTAAAGTAAGGAAAGATGGCATATTAGGAATGGAAATAGGTAGATACATGAATGAGGATGAGAGAGATAGTGCACTGACTCGATACTCCTGAAATCCCGGAATTGGTCGTTGGATGGAGTCGTAATGGAGATTTTTTTACAGATAAGAATCCCCTTCTTATGAGTAGGAATGATACTGAGACGGATTGAGGAACAATAACAAAGGCATCAGGTTGAGCTTGCGGGTCTTCGGCCTATTGGTACAGTAGAGTGTTTTCCTCTCCCTAAATAGGAAGAGGCTAACTAATGTTCTAGACGTCAAGCGGATAGTAACATATCCAATTGATTCCAAATCATGACCGCAGACCAAGAAACGGGCCAACTTACCAAGAGTAAGTATAGATGAATACGATAAATTATGAACAGTTACCGACTTATTTTCTCTCTCTCTCGAATTGGATCTAGTAGTAATCACAACGCAACTTTTCGCCGAGATTTCATAATGGTGGTTTTAGGAAACTTCAATTGATTAATGAGGTCTGGAGACTCTATAATTCGAATGATATGTGGAGAGAGCGGGGCGTCTTACCCGCATCAATCGATACCATGGTGTCGCATATACACGAAGGTTATTCTTCATTTCACCCAAAATTGGTATACAAAACCTATAAATATGGTAGGGGTGGTATGACTTTGAAGGAACATTTCACTCTGGAAAGGCAAGATGAGCTTGGCTATTGTTGTGCCAGGCGCCCACTCATCAATGCTGGTGATTGGCCTTGTATGGCTGTGCCATCTCTTCCAATAGATGTACTACTTTTTAAAGCGTTAGCTAATATCTTAATGCGGGAGTTTCTAGTGATAAGAAACAATCTTCCGTCTAGATTATTTTATTATAATGAAATGTTGGATTACCACCAAAAGTTCTGGGATGGTCAAAGTGGTGTAGAGAAAATAGTCTGTGTGGATTCGAGTCATAGTATCCGGTATGTTTCTACTCCACGTCTATGGAATACCTTGAACTGTCTACACAATCTGGGTGTGATTTCCCACATCTTAAAGGAATTTCTATCTCTCCCGATATATAATGCCGACACTAACCTCCAAATTCCTCATTCGAATTGTATACCATTGATAGGTGAATTGAGTGACGTGCTCCTACATCTCTTTTTGCAACATCAATTCGATAGGGAGGTCCTGAGCCGGTATGAAGGCGTTCTTTATACAAGATGGGACACCGATGTCCTTATAGCTTCAACACGCTATGATCCATATCATCTTGACCGTCCACAAATTCTAGACATCTTAAGGCACGTAAATCTAAGCGGATGTATTTTAGTGATCGAACGTGGTGGTGGAGGCATGGTCGTGAATCCCGAGAAATCTCAGATATTCCTCAATGTAGATGGCGATGTTAGTATCCCTCAACTAAGCGAAGGCGAGACTGAGTATGATAGTGAATGATTCAGGGAATTGGATAGAACGTTTTTGATAGAGTAACCTATTACTAATAATGATGAGTATTCTTATCTAGGGAAACATACATGTCCTATTTGAGAAGGAATAACAAAGGTTCAAAGAAAGAGGGAGGAGAGATAGATGGATCTGAACATGGAATCTGTTCAAAGGTCGAGTTCCATCAATGAAGCAGAGTCACATATATCTAAATACTAGTTCCGATCATACCACTACTCGATCATCCTAAACAACATTACGCTATCCCCTATTATCACAGAACGTCGCCAATTATTCTTCAACTACGCTATCAGATTCACCTAGAAAAGGGCTGATCATAAATGAGATCTCATGCTTTCCAAGGGTTATTTATTTCGTAATCGTTCACTCTGTTTGTACTAGATACCCATCATCTCCCGCCAAATTCGGCTAGAACCCTTATTACCTCTAGCGCTCAAACCGCCTTACAGTTTTTGCCTTCACTGATTGGGAAGGTCGTTTAAAAACAGTAGATCAGACTTTTTCAGTTGAAGAATCAAAACTTATACACATAATATATATGATCGACACAAAAAGATTGGATGTCATTTCTTAACGCCAGGAGGGAGGGAGATATTCACGTGGCGATAGGCAGTGGCGGAGACAGGGGGACCAGCAGGGGCCCTGGCCCCCCCTAACAACCAGGATTTCAAGCTAATTTTCCTATAAACAGTACATAATTACTTGTTATTTTCTGCTAAAAACTCATTTTTCTAGGATTTGGCCCTCCCCGATCAGTTTTAGCATCACTCGGCCCCCCTGATAATTTTTTTTCTGGCTCCGCCACTGGCGAGAGGAGCGGTATCTTTTGATAGAAGCCCACATACCCACTCTTCTATCCCACCTACCCATAAGGGTGTCAGTGGCCTCATGATCTCCATGAACAGAGATCACTACACAGGAAACTGCTTATGTTTCCTCGACAGATTTCATCACTTTAAGCGAGTATTACCCGTTTTTAGTGGTGGAGACAATAGTCTTCACTGCCCTCAAGCTCATAGAGACCTTCACAGTAATCCAACCACCTACTCACACCCTCCCCCTCGAATAAGGTTTTATTATACACGGTGTAAGCCTTATTCAGTCTCGCTATCGACTTTTGCCAACTGAATTTCTCAGACGACGAAAGTTCGTTAGAATTAGGTACACAAAATCCGATTCGAGTTTTCAATACGGAGCCAGAAAGAGGCAATAGTTAGGACGTATATGCGCCTAGCTTTTTGTCTCTTTTACTGCAGGAAGTTCTCCAAAAGTATGAAAGGCCGGAGGGCTTTGTACCAACCATTCTAGTGTGGTTGGATTCTGTTCAACAGCCCAAGGACTTTCCGCACATTTTTGGTTCTTTCCACTGCTTGAAGTGATTGCGACAACTACGAAAAAACGATGAATCCCAACTACGGATATATAATAACCGAAACTGCTCAGAGCATTCCATCCGGCGTAAGCATCTGGATAATCTGGAATGCGACGTGGCATACCCAAAAGCCCTAAGAAATGCATGGGAAAGAAGGTCAGATTAACCCCGAAAAAAGTGATCCAAAAATGGATTTGGCCTAAAGTTTCAGGATATGTCCGACCAAAGATTTTACCCACCCAATAGTAAAATCCAGCAAATAAAGCAAAAACGGCTCCCATAGAAAGTACATAATGGAAATGTGCAACCACATAATAAGTATCATGTAGAGCAATGTCTAGCCCAGAGTTTGCTAGAACTATTCCAGTGAGCCCTCCTATGGTGAACAAAAAGATGACTCTACAGCAAATAACATGGGTGTTTTGTATTGTATCGAACCTCCCCACATGGTAGCGATCCAACTAAAGATTTTGATTCCTGTGGGCACAACTATGATCATGGTAGCTGCGGTGAAGTAGGCACGCGTATCAATGTCTAAGCCCACAGTAAACATATGATGAGCCCAAACTAGAAATCCAAGAACACCTATACTTATCATGGCATAAACCATGCCTAGATACCCGAAGACCAATTTTCTTGAAAAGGTCGATACGATACGACTAATAATACCAAATCCAGGCAGAATGAGAATATACACCTCTGGATGACCGAAGAACCAAAAGAGATGCTGGTATAATATTGGGTCTCCCCCTCCTGCAGGATCAAAAAAGGTTGTATTAAAGTTTTGATCGGTTAATAACATTGTAATTGCCCCCGCCAGTACCAGAAGTGATAATAAAAGTAGGAATGCTGTCACTAGAACGGACCACACAAAAAGTGGTAATCTATGCATAGTCATTCCAGGTCCATGCATGTTGAATATAGTTGTTATAAAATTGATAGAACGTAAAATTGATGAAATACCTGATAGATGAAGACTAAAAATTGCTAAATCAACTGCTCCTCCAGAATGGCTGGTAATACCACTTAAGGGCGGATAGACTGTCCACCCAGTGCCATTGCCCACTTCTACTAAGGCTGATCTTAATAGGAGCAAGAGACTTGGTGGCAACAACCAGAATGATATATTATTTAATCGTGGAAATGCCATGTCAGGTGCACCTATCAGAATCAGAACAAACCAATTACCAAATCCACCTAGCATCGCCGGCATAACCATAAAAAAGATCATTAAAAAAGCGTGAGCCGTTATTAAAACATTATAAAGTTGATGATTCCCACCAAGAATTTGATCGCCGGGTCGGGCTAATTCCATACGAATTAGTACGGAGAAGCATGTGCCCATCACTCCTGCAATGGCACTGAAGATGAAATAGAGAGTCCCAATATCCTTGTGGTTAGTAGAGAAGAGCCATCGAACCATATTTGTCATTTTTAATTTTAGAAATGAAAACTTTCCTTATCAAAGAGGGGTCGGGGGGCTGGAAGAGAAAAGAATCAGAATTACTGAGCTACCCCGCTCTTTTTTTCTAATTCCCTTCTAAGATCCTCCGACTTAAACAAGTCGAGAGCATGCTCGTGCTCAGCTCTTTCGAGACTTGCCTTGCTCTTGGGGATTTCTTCCCACCGGATCCTCTGTTCCACTTCCAGGCACCTCCTTGCGGAGCTTTCCGCCTCAAGGAGATCCCGGTTGTGGGAAACAACATTTCGAAAGAAAACGGATCCTCCCTCATTCTCCCGCAGATCTTGATAAGACGCTTGGAGAACAGTGAAAGAATCAGTTGCGTGAATATGGTCCAGATAGGAACGAAGTGCTTCATCGACCAAGTAGGGCTCGATCGGTAGATAAGGCCCTACTCTTTGATAAAGCGCCACAAATTCCTGAATGACATCTTGTCGCATAGAAGAGAGCTTTTCTTCCATTAGGAAGAGCTTAAGCCACCCAGGTATGTCTTTCAGGGGGTATTGTGATTAAGCTCGTTTTGAATGAACTTAACCCATCCCGGATCCTGCTCGTAAAGTCTCAGATAGAAGTTTAGCCCTGCTAAATGAGCTAGAGCCTGGGGGTCTTGAATCTCCGGCGGGAGAGTGATCAGAAAGGAGGAGCCGACGAAGCACGAACTAAAAAGATTGAAAATAGGTATTAGGCATAATAGAAAATGACAAAGGAATAAAAATATACAAATCGAAAGTAATATCCAATTATATATTAAGGGAAACTTAATACTTTACTTACTTACTTACTTACTTACTTACTAAGCCTTTTGTCCCAAACAAGTTGGGGTAGGCTAGATATGAAACCCTTTCACGAGGACTTCCCAGGAGGTCACCCATCCTAGTACTATTCTCGCCCAAATGGGTTTTATACCCAAAGGACTGGCTAGTTTTTACGTTGGCTCGCCAAGCCTATCACAACCCTTAGATATGAAACCCTTTCACAAGGACTTCCCAGGAGGTCACCCATCCTAGTACTACTCTCGCTCAAATGGGTTTCATACCCATGGGACTGGCTAGTTTTTACGTTGGCTCGCCAAGCCTATCACAACCCTCCTCCTTTACCCGGGCTTGGGACCGGCTATGCCTAGAAGACATAGGCGGAGTTATATTAAGGGAAACTTAATACATAAGAAAAAACAGATAGTAAAGCGGGTAGTGGAGAAGAGCCATCGAACCATATTTTTCATTTGCTTTTCGTTTTGAAAACTTAACTTATCAGAGAGGGGCCAGGGGGCTGGAAGAGAAGAACTTTAATACTAAACGCTGGAAGAGAAGAACCTTAATACTAAACCAAGTTTCAGGAACTTCTTGGTGACTTGATTGGTTCCCTTCCCCCAATTTGCAAAGGATGATTCCCGTGAAGGTGATCTCGATCACCATTCTATGATATTTCTGGATGCTTTTGAGAAGCTTTTCCTTTTACCTAATGCCGGCTACCGACAACTTACTTCATGCTATTACTAACACTTATGACTGAGCCGCACTTGCTTTCCAAAAGAAATGGAAACTATCATGCCTGAGACTAGCCAATAGAAGAAAGAGCCACAAGCAAGCCATAGCAGCATCCTTTTTTCTTCGCTTTCTTCAACAATGCGAATCTACCTCACTCCTCATCATAACTCAAATACAAATTCGAGTTCCAAATTGATATATTCCTCACGTAAGCAATAAAATGTGAAACCAATATTCATCATAAAACTTCAGACACTGATGGTTGTGAGGTTCTGGAAGAGAGACGACGTAGGCTGAAAAAAAGTTAACAGAAAACCACCCCTTAAACTCATTTGCTCAACATTCTTTCCACAACAACTAGAAAAGTGGAGAAATCCAATAAGGGGAGGTCCCGGTGAATACAAATCAATTGGAAACCGAACTCCGCATTCATGTCTCTAACAAGTCTGTCTAAGCTAAGCGGCCATGGACCCATGGACCCGGGGAATCTGAACCATTAGGTAGAGTTTCAGCTGAAAGAAAACCAGGTCAATCTTCCGATTGCGAGTCTTTACAAGCTTGAAACAACTTAAGCACACGCGGGAGTCGCCCCTTTTAAAGTCAGTATTTATGCGGCGCTGAACTAACGAGCGGATACCTAACCTTCGAAGCAGAAGAAAAGACGGATGTATCTTTCATTCATATCGATCAGATGTGCTTTGCTTAGGACTCCCATTTTACCATTGCTTAAGCCATATTACATAAAGCATAGTGAGTGATACGCAATGCTAGTACCACCATGTTTTTTTCCTCACTCTGTGTAGCCACACTCGTTTGTCCATTTCTACTTATTATTTATGTTAAATAGTATCCGTTGGTTGTAGAAGCACTGGTGTTCAGGGATTGCAAAATCCATAATATCAAGAAGCGGTAGGAACCTGGCTAACTTCGATGCGGATAACGCGCTGTAGAAGAAAGTGGATCAACCAAAGTAGACCTTGATCGAAAGGCACCACAAGGCGAACCAATAGAGTGTGGTGTAAGCGGTGAAGCAGAATAGGAATTGGAACTGCTTGAACTAGAAAGGGCTTCCGCTACCGCGCTACCTCGGGAGCTCCGGAAACGGTATACTCGCTTCACTCATCTGTAATGGTATCCTTGAAAGCTAGCTAAAGTGGGTTCTAGACAAAGTTCTCCTAAGCAGGGCGGAAGGAAAAAGAAGAGCAGTATAGCTCTACATTACGCTTCGGGGGCCTCGTCTTACTCCTCACCTTCTACTAATCATATCGTGACAAAACAACCAGCCCAACAATAGGCAAGGACTGACTGAAATCCCTTTCCGCATCGTCCTTCTCTATTGGGGGCTCCCAACACCTCAGCCACACATCTTTTTCGTTCGCTCCCCATTTTATTCTCTAAGGAACCCTCTCCTTAATGAGCGTAGATTGATGGAGATGGCTTTTGTACCGGTCAATCTTTATATCCTTTCTGGCATAGTTTTGTAAAAGATCGGCAGGTGATCCGTCCTTTCTCCTCTGTCGTGGTTCATGCATTCTTCCTTTTTGGAAAGCGGATAGGGATCGGGTAAATTAGAGAATAGACAGACGTCCGTTGGCATTTCAGCCTTTCTTCTCCTTTCAGGGCCTATCCGAAAGAGAATCCAGTACCTCTTGGTCCTAAATATCAGAATAGGACGCGCAACAACGGAACAACAAGAGCAAGACCGCTCCAAACTAAATCACAATAGAAGTTATGGCCACTCAGGCTGGACCAAAACAGCAAGCGGAAGGTCTCTGAAAGTCCTACATTAGCACCAAGCCATCCCCCAAGGGAGGGTATAACGGAGTGTGGTAAAATCCAGTTGCTAACGCTCCCGGCTGTGGGTTCTTCACAATTAGCAGGGCTTCTATTCTAGTACAGAGATCACCACTTGTTATGCCAGGTTCTCCTTTTTCGAGTTGGTTACTGTCTTGTTGAGCAACGTTTTCCCGGCAATCTCCGCTTTTTAGGGTGGCCTCTAACAGGTCGGGAGAGTACTAAAAATCCGGCTCATACGCCTCACAAGATTGAACATCTGCGAAAGTCGTCTCAAAGCTCTGACTCTCGAGAGAAAGTCTTGCCTACCAGTGACTTATTTTACGGAATAAGAATGCCTATTGTACTAGCTTCTTTCTTGACTCCATTAACTCAGTTTATAGAAAGGAATCCCTCCAGTCCAGTAAGAAGGAATAGAGAAGAAGAAAGTCACTCATCAACTCCTACTTTGGTTATTGAGACTTGCCCGCGTATCTGACCTATGTGTACCTATTCCCTAGCCTAAGTAGCTTACCCACTGTCCTAATAACTGTCTGTCAATCCGACAGCTTGCCCTACTGCCTATCGACGCTACTGTCCTAAGTCTCCTACTCATATACCCAAGGTCAAAGACTTTGCAGGGCAATAAACTGATTTCGGAATTGCTTAACTGCTGAGAGCTAATATCGGGGAGTAGTAAGCCAGCCCACCACAAGATGAATGAGTGCGCCTCTCCTATGCCGACTTACTAGCCAGGTTGAGCCTTTGAGCCATAAGAGGAGGGAGAATCTGGTTGATTTTCCAGGGAATGATTATATGGATTTCAAGGAGGATATTGTTACCTTCATCAGATTGATTGATAACTGGTCGTCGATTGAAAACTACTGCTTTTTCCAGTGAGAAAGGAAGGAGGAGGGGGATCTCAACAAGCCATGGATTTATAGCCTACAACCGAGTCCACAAAGAAGATGGTTTCAAAGCTCGAAGAGCATATTTGTGAGGTTGATCCCTAAGTGCAGAGTTTCATGTGACGAACAACGAAACTCCATTTCTTCAAACACAACCCTGTGCCACCGACAAACGTTTGACTTTGACTGTGTTTTTTTGGGCTATGAAAATTCTACTTATACCCAATGATGGAACATTTTGAAAATATGTTCAACGGGGTCTTAAGAAAGGCAAATTTCAGGCCTTTAGTTTTTAGGATCATCTCGCTAATCGAAATATGAAGGATAGCGAACACTAGATGGCTAGTGGCCTTATGCAAACAAAGAAGAGGGATGCCTAACCAATTGATCCTAAAAGATCTTATTTGAGATAGGTCAGATTGGACTTAGTGGCCAACGTTAGGGATGGTACAGTCAATATGGGATGTGGAATTCCAGGAAACGTTCTTATCCGCGCTCACTGATAATGTGAACCTGGTCCTTAGTTTCCTCCAACTGATTCCTATTTTTTGAGCCTTTATCAGTAAGTCCTTAATAGCGAAAAATGCTTTGACTCTAAGGGTTACCTTGGTACCTTTATTCGGATATGCTTCTTTTCGGACAGGAGGGGCAGATTGACATTGAGGCAATGGCACATGGATTCTATTGAGAAGGGCTGGCTGCTCTCGACGACGGGGTGGGGGAATGAGATGCTGGGAGATGGGAGTTATTGGTGGATTGAGAGGGGAGCAGATGCGTGGGCTAGTTCAATCTTTTTGCTCCTGCCTTCCTAGCCTTATGGACAGGAGTCCTCTGGCCTAGTCCTGAAACTCTTCCCGCAGCCTTCCTTGCCCTTATTGCCCGGCATACCTCGGAAGGCATGCCCTGGAACCAATTCATTCATCTGCCCTCTTCGCGATAAAGCTTTGCCTTACTTTGCTTGCTGGCTCTAAGTCCACCTCCTTTACTACACTACACCCTCTCACCGCCCCTATTCAGCCCGAAAGGCTTCTAACTTCCCCGAAACCTTACTTATTCAGGGCAAGATTCGGAACTTAGGGTCATTGCCTTTCATCTGCCTTTCTCTCATATGCTTAGAACCTATACATAGAAATGGAATTCAAAACTTCGGAATAGTTTTGAGGAGAGCCGAGAGGACACGTTCAAGGAGTAGTGTAAAGTAGCAGACAGAGGGGCGCTCCCGCTTAGGCATTAGGCATTAGGCACGAGAAAGAACATCGTTCTCGGCCGTCCCTTCCTTCCCGGAAAAAGGCT